CCCCCCCCCCCAAAAAAAAAAAAAAAATCCTTATTTCCGCCTAACCACTTTGAACTTAGGGGATATTATTGCCAATAATAAAAAAGATGAAAATAATTGGGCTAATTTGAGAAAACCACTCTCAATTATGGGTCATCTCAGAAAATACCTCCAACTATTTTAACTTTACAAAACCCCCCTCAAATTTGGGGTTGTTGTATATAACCTCCCTTAACTTTCAAATGATCACTAAGCCCCCTTCAAATATAATTAAATCTGAAGTAACATATTATTTAAAATGACTATACTAGCCTTAAGACGTTAAATTTTCTACCATGATATTTCTTTTTAACCTTTTTGGTTAAAAACTACCCCCATGTTATCCCCCTCTTCTTCTTCTCCCTCCATATCCATTGCTTGGTCCACGCGGAAACCTAATCTTTTCTTTCTTTTTTGAAACGCTAAACTTCTTTTATTTTGTAAATTCATGTTTCTAATATTTGGAGCAATTAAATTTTTTTTTCAAAAGATTTGTTCTCTTAAAAAAAACCATCCAATTGAAGTCTAGTATTTTAATTAGTTTGGTTTTTTAAACTCGCATGGGTTTCTCTTTTAACCAAGGGTATTTTAGTCATTGCATATTTTGAATTAACGATATTAGAGGGTTATTTGAAAATTTTGTAAAGATAAGGGGGTGTTTTGTGAGACACCTCATAGTTAAGAGGGTTTAGTTATATTTTGAAAGTTGAGGGGGGCTATCTACAACACCCTCAAAATTGATGGGGTTTCCTAGAGTTAAATAAGTTGAGCTGAGACAAGCACATAGTTGAACGAGGTTTTCTAAAGTTAACCCAAAATAATTCATCAGCCCAAAAAAGTTAGTCGTTGTCCTTTTTAATAAAAGAGTATTCTTTTCAGAAGGGATTTTTTTTTGTACATCTCATGTCAAAGGGATATGTCAATAAATTCGATAGTTCGCTGTGTTGCAATTTTTAGGAGTTCCGATCGAAGATAAGCTGCTCCGACGGCTCTGGCATAACCACCAGCCTCGTAGTCGACGCCAGCGGCTTCTCCTCCCCATTCATCACCTATGACAAACTAAGAAACTGTGGCTACCAAATCGCCCACGGCATCCTTGCCGAGGTCGACTCCCACCCCTTCGCCCTCGACACCATGCTTCTCATGGACTGGCGAGACTCCTACCTCGACAACGAACCCAACCTCCGTCCAAGCAACGCGAAATGCCCGACGTTCCTATATGCAATGCCGTTCTCTTCGAATCTTATCTTCCTCGAAGAGACGTCCCTTGTCGCTCGTCCAATCCTTGCATACGACGAGGTCAAGAAACGGATGGTCGCTAGATTGAGGCACGCCGGCATCAGAGTCAGACGTGTGATTGAGGATGAAAAGTGCGTTATAGTAATGGGGGGTCCACTTCCTACGATCCCTCAAAATGTTATGGCTATGGGAGGGAACTCTGGTTTGGTTCATCCTGCATCCGGGTAATTTTCAAACCGTATATACTACAACATAGAGTAAAACTAAAACATATTTAACTGAATCGTGTTGTCTGTCAACTTTCGAATTGTTTTGTCTATCAACTTTTTTATCTCTTGATTTTGTTTTGAGATTTGTGTTCGTGTGAGATACATATCAATGTCTTGATGTCTATCACTCGGTATCTCAAATTTCAAAGCAAAATAAACGGACAAAAAGTTGGATACAAAGTCTCGGTTCAGTTAAGTTTATTCTAGTTTATTTTTTCTCCTTACAACAGAGGGTAAGACTAGAATAAACTTAAGCGCAGTGAGAGTTGACATGTAATGAAATCTTCTTTTAACTATTGGGGTTGGACTTCTGGGCCTTTTGGGTTTTTTGGGCTATGGATAGCAGGTCAAAGCCTATCAATTGTGATGAGATACTTAGAAGTCAAGGAGATAATTTAGTGTTTGGTAAGTGTTAGATTTAGATTGTATCATAATCGCCTACTAAATAATCAACGCTTGAGATTAAAAGTAGTGGTCTCTCGTTAGATTTAGATTGTATCATAATCGCCTACTAAATAATCAACGCTTGAGATTAAAAGTAGTGGTCTCTCCACTACTTTTTTGTAGTGAATCAACGCTTGAGATTAAAAGTAGTGGTCTCTCCACTACTTTTTTGTAGTGGAGAGGATCCAAATCCACTAATATTACCCACCAATTGTAGATTCTGGAAGCGGTTTGGTTAACAGGCTGAATCTTGCTTGAACTTCAGCATTCTAAAACGCACAACAACTTAATTAGTAAAAAGATTGAAAAAAACTACATTTATCATTGTCTCATCTCCCCCTTCTGTTACAACAGGTACATGGTAGCTAGAGCTCTGAGATACGCGCCAGTTGTTGCGGATGCAATGACGGAGTGCTTGGGATCTACGAGAATGATCAGAGGAAAGGCGATGTACACAAAACTTTGGAACTCTCTCTGGTCGAGGGAGATGAAGAGGGAGAGAGAATTCTATAGATTTGGTATGGAAACACTATTGAGGTTGGATCTGGAGGGAACGAGGAGGTTTTTTGATGCCTTCTTTGAGTTGGATCCTTATTATTGGGAGGGGTACATGGCTTCGAGGTTGTCGATGAAGGAGATTGCGGAGTTGAGTATCTCGTTGTTTGGGCATGCTTCGGCTTTGACCAAGCTGGATATTGCTACCAAGTGTCCTTTGCCTTTCGCTCAGATGGTTTGGAATTTGGCTGCAGAAATTGTTTAGAGTATAGGAGGTGTTTTTTATGTGCTGGGGAGGAAATCCGCACATTGACAAAATACATAATGGATTATATATGATGCTGAGAAACTTTTAATGAAAACATTTTTGGGTTGGCCTGAGTCGTACCGCATTTGTATCATTCTGTAACGAAGAAGGAAAACATGTATGATGCTGAGAAACTTTTAATGAAAACATTTTTGGGTTGGCCTATACTATGATCCATTATTCAAAGCACACTAAGCATTAAATGCTTTTAAACCTCTAAAACAATGCTCAAAATTCCAATGTGGGACTATCTTGTTTTTTACAAACAAATACTAACAGGCCTGAGTCGTACCGCATTTGTGTCATTCTGTAACGAAGAAGGAAAACATGTTTCAAGTTGACAATTTGTTAATTACGTGTCGTCGAAGGATACTTGTTTTGATACCATAAATACGTTTTGGCTCGTGATACGTACAAATTTCTTCAAAACTAGCAGGGGGATATATGAAAGACACCATGATATATATATATGAATAATACAAGAAGAGCAGGCTTTTTGCTCCGAGATAACGCAAAGACACTCCTATCCTCTCAGCAACTGTTACCTTCCAATCGAAAACTTTTGAAGCAGAGACGCTTAAGTGTAATCCCTCTAGGAATATTGGTAAGTTCCCAATAATATAAAGAGCAAATATTTATAGATGTTGTTTCTCTACAAGTTAGCAGGCTAATGTCAAAGAAGAAAATTTTGTTGATTCTTTTGTAGAAGAATGAACCTTACAAGATTTGTTCTCTTGTAAGGGTTGTTAGGTTGGCTGAGAAAGGAAATCAAAACACTCTGACACACCCGTGTGAAGGTGTTTGATTCGCTTTTCTTGTATTTGGTTGAGAGAGGAAAAAAATAGATGTTATGCATGTGGGACCCACCCGCCAGTAAGATAATAGTGTGGGTCCCAAATTTAAGGAAATTTATTTCCTCCCGAAAAGTCACGAAATGTGTTTGAAAACATGGAAATTTGTCCTACAGCCTATTTCACAAGAGTAATCTCCCAAACTTGGGTTTCTAGGAAATGAACCAAACATCCCCGTAGCATATACATGCAACAACAAGCCTATACCTATGGGTGTTATTTTGCCCTTGGGTTAATTGTAAACAAACCCCTTCTAGTATCAATCTATTGTAAAGAAACCCCTCGTAGTTCTATTTATCGCAAATTGACCCACTGTAGTTGGAACTTCAGTTGGCACGAGTCACAAGCCCGCGTCTGTTCCACGCCGTATATCCCTACATATATAAATCGTGGGCCCTATTCTCGTTCGAGGAAGCGCGTCGGTGTTTTGCTCTCTCAGAGAAGAAAACTTTTGAAAACCCTAGTTCATGATTTCGTACCCCTAATTAATGTCATCAATGAGGCCGATCAGGCTCCCGGAGCCCCCGAGCGGCTTCGCCGGGACGCCGGAGATCTTCGAGGGTGGAGTGAACGCTGTCAGAAGGGCGGTCGTCATCGGCAACGGGTTCGCCGGAGCTGAGAACCAGAGCATCGGTTTGGTTCGCGCCCTTGGACTCGCTGACAAGCACTCGATTTATGTAAGTCTTTTGGTTATTTTTTCCGTGGATCGATTGAATTGGGGTTTGTTAATCTATCGGTTTAGGGCTTTGATTGAAAGAAAGATGCTGGCTTTGGAGTGAATTTGATTGAACTGGGGTTGGACAGTTCCTTTAAGACTTATTGCCATGTTTTTTTTTCCATTTTGGACTCTAATTAAACTGAATTCTGGTGAATGTGAAATTTGTTAGCAAATAATTTGATTGAGATGTTCGTAAATCTATCTGTTTAGAGTTTTGATTGAGAAGAAAAATGCTGTTTCTGGGTTTGATTTGATTGAATTAGGGTTGGAACTAGCTGAAGTATGCACTGGCTGCTGATTCATTTCCTTCGTTTTTAATGGACCCGATTGGTGGATAGCCAAAGTTTTGTTTTTGTCTGTGAACATTTTGGACGTCAACTGAAATGAATTATGTGGTATTAAAACTTTTGATTGACGTATGGTGTTGTGGTTTGTATTTTTGCCACCTTATGCACAAATCTGAGGTATGTTTTCTAGAATATCTCATATTCTAATTCTAGATGTGATTTGCAGCGAGTAATCAGACCAAGAGGGGGAATTAATGAGTGGCTTAGGTGGCTTCCAGTGTCCTTGCACAAAATCATAGACTGTGTAATTAAACAAGTGTTTGGCGGGTCAAAATTTGGAGCAGTACTTCAAGGGAAGAGATTTGTGCCGTCTCCTACTCAGAATGGTGGCAATGTTGGGCTGTCATCTGTTTTAGAAGCTGATGCCAGACAGATTGCCTTCAGTGCCCGTGAGAATTTTGAGAAGTATGATTTAACTACTCGTTCCTTATTTTTGTGTCTTCCAAATTACCTTGTTTGTGCTTACTACATCATTGTACTTTAATATTCTATTGGAAACGTAAACACATTAAAAATAAAAAAAAATCATTTGACCCTCAACCCCTTAATTCCTGGGGATCTGTCTCATACTGTGTTGTCTTTCATATTTAATGCTGAACTTGGTTGTGCTTCTCAGACATGTGACGATTGATTCATTCTTCCGTGAGAATTTTGAGAAGTATGATTTAACTACTCGTTCACTATTTTTGTGTCTTCCAAATTATCTTGTTTGTGCTTACTACATCATTGTACTTTAATATTCTATTGGAAATGTAAACACATTAATAATAAAAAAATTCATTTGACCCTCTACCCCTTAATTCCTGAGGATCTGTCTCATACTGTGTTGTCTTGCATATTTAATGCTGAACTTGTGCTTCTCAGGCATGTGATGATTGATTCATTCTTCATCATTGTGTCTCCGTGCTACAATGTTTTATGTTTGCGATCATATTATACTGCCTGCATGATTTTTGTAAGGAAAACAATAATACCTTGTAAAAGCTGATTGTAGAATTCTGTTACATGTCATACACTTTGGTTGGTGGGTATACCTTGTTTAATTATGCTCTGAGACTCTTAAAGCGCTCCCCGCAACCCCTCCCCCCCCCCAAAAAAAAAAAAAAAAAACACCCCCCCCCCCCCCCAAAAAAAAAAAAAAAACACGCGCTCACGTGCTCACGCACATACGGGGAGCAATGGGTATAATAGGGCTATTTTTTTCATATACAATGATGTGTGTAGGGTCAAAATATTGAAGTTTGATTAATTTCTTATTTTAAGAAGTTGATTCGATCACTTGGTACGAATCCCTTACAATCACTCATTCTCTCTCGATTACAGAGGAAGAGAAGATTAATTTGACTTCTTTTTTGTTTAAAAGTGGGTTCTTGGTAGCGAAAGGACGCTTCTCTCGATGTTCAAGCCGAGATTGCCTCCCGTTGACGATCAGAACAAGATCACAAAAGCTTCTGATGGTGGTTTAGATCACGAGAATACGAACACGAATCTCTCTTCACGTGATCGCCAAAGCCTTCTTCAAAAGTCCCCTCCTCCATAGCCGCTCATGGCTATTTATAGAGTTCGTAGCACATAACCATCATGCTAAAATTATGGGTAGAGGCCGTAACTACCTCCTTCAATTCAGCCCACGTTGGTTACTGGGAGCGAAACGTGCTCCTGGAACTTAGCCCACGTGATTGACTAAGTCTTCGGAGCCGTTACAGTTGGATCTCCAACGGACGACGAGCTTTGTTGTTTGGTGAAGTTCATCTGATTGAACGAGTCTCAACATGCAGCAAGGTTCGTCTTCTAAGATCAACTTTACAGTACAGCGAACTTTATCTTCACTGACGTCGTCTGACGAGCTTCGTATTCACTAACGAACTTCGTCTTTGATAGCTGAGTTCAACTGCGTAGCAAGTCTTGTGAATTTCCTTTTGACGAGCCTCATCTTCACTAATGAGCTTTATGTCTGGTGATGAGCTCCAAATCTCGTATCCAATGACGAGCTTCGAACCCCGTTTCCAGTGATGAGCTTTGAACCTCGTATCCAACGACTAACTTCGAACCTCGTCTCCACTAGTGAGCTTCGAACCTCGTATCCAATGACGAGCTTCGAACCTCGTATCCAACGACTGGCTTCGAACCTCGTTTCCACTGGTGAGTTCGCCAAGCCTCGCTGCATGGTGAGCCTCGTTTCTGATATGGCTCCTCGCTGGGTGATGAGTCTCATCTTTGACCAAGACGAGGTTCGTCCCTATGACGACCTTCGTCATATCTTGAAGTTCAGCATTTTTTTAATGCCTACAATGTGCTGAATCTCATGCAAGTGAATAAGGGGGTTCTTTCTAAGGGAGTATATATATGATGTGCCTGAATCTTGGCCAAGTGAATAAGGTTGATCTTTCTTTATTATTTTATCTCTCAGTCTGCATCACTTGGCTGATGTTCAACCACACCACTGTATATGAGAGAATACCTCATGTCTCATGTGATACCCATTATTCTCATAAACACATACATTCAGGCACACATTTATATGTATACATGTGTGCATGTTGTTCCTCTGCATGGTTAAGCTTCTTCAGATTTGCAAACACCTAACTTGATTGTAAATCTAGGTATCTGAGCCCACCTATGGTTCTTGTGACTTGTGACTTTCTGGGTGCCATTAAACCGTATGGCCATTTCATTTATTCGGTGGATATTTGTTTTATCAGTCTCATAAACTTTCAGATTAGCTGTGATTTGTGCATTGTCCATTCCTCTGAAGCTATAGAATTCTTCCTGTTATTTATTAGCTTTTGTGGAACATGCATAGAAAATTGAACTTAAGATTAGTGCAATGTTGTTTCGTTTCAGAGATGGCCCTCTCCTAGTGGTTGCATGTGGGAGGGATACCATCTCGATAGCGAGTTCAATAAAAAGCATGGCGCCGAATAATGTCTTTGTTATTCAGGTAACGCGTACTTGCGCTTTATATTTTTTATTTGTCTTGTTAAACCATATATATGATTTCACCAAAATTTTGTTTTTGATTGATTGTTCTTATTCTATCTACACTGAAAGTTCTTAGCTTCTCCTCAGATACAACACCCGAGATCTGGGCTGGACAGGTTTGACTCAGTGGTAACTCCTGAGCATGACTACTATGCTCTGACAGCTAGTGGGCAACAAGAGATCCCTCGATTTTTGAGAGGATGGATATCTCCACGAGAACCACGTAGTAAGAACGTTGTAAGCTCCCTTCCTCCATCTTTTGTGCTTTAGAGAAATGGTAGTTGTAAAGGTCTTCTAATGTCTGAAAAATTGGAGAACTATGATCGAGAAAATATATCTGAAGTTCTTTAATGTCTGAGAACTTGGAATTTCAGATCTGCACAGTGGGAGCACTGCACCAGGCTGATTCTACTGCACTTCGCATTGCTGCTACGACATGGCATTCTGAGCTTGCCCCTCTTCCAAAGCCCTTGCTTGTGGTTAATATAGGAGGGCCTACAAGTAAGTTTCCCACTTACTTTTCTTGTTTGTGTGATGATTCACATCTTGCAGAGTAATGGCTAAGAGCAGTGAGCACCATAGGAAACGTATGCATTTGCTGCTCTCTGCAACATAATTGCTCTACCTTTTCTTATTGTTTTTATGATATTATTTTTATTAGGATACGGTAAATTGCAATTTGCATTATATCTATCTTTGATGAATCTTTTGATGTCAACCCTCAATTATTCTTTAGCTATAGTATTTTCCATTTTACCAGAATTTTAAAAGTTGCTTCCTACAGCCAGTGTTTTAAAATGATTGACTAATTGGATAGATTATCTTGAAACGTAGAAATTGAATTTGTATTGTAAGTTTGCATAAAACTTCATCTTGTCATGTCTGTAGCCAAATAACTTGAATGTTCTCTGTCCTCTCATTGCAAAACTGTTGGATAATGATGAAGAGAGTGACTCACGAGTCACAGAGATAACTTGGCTAATTTTGGATACTGATTGCAGGACTTTGCTTCTTAGTCCTTCCCAAGAATTTACATTTGTGCAATTGGAATTCAAGCTGTTCTCTAAGAAATGTTTTAAATTTAAGATTTTATAGTTTTATACCTCCTCACTTCAAGATAGCTCCTTAATGTTTTACTTTACAATTTCATTTAAAGAAAATGCATCACAGAATGGTTAGTATAGGGTTCTGACTTTGGATCACAAAATGGAGTAACATGACCCCACTTTGCCAAATCAACTTCTGTAATTTCCACCCCTTCAATCATTTTTCTCTGATCCCCATTTTAAACTGGATCCATCAAAACATTAAAAACCCCAGGCCCACCCTATCCCAGAATGCAATGAAGTCGTTAAAGATAAAGTAGTGGAATAAAATGAATGATAATTGACTAAATGGCTGCTTAGTGACATATTGGGAAAGATGTGTTCGATAGTTTTACTAATAATACGATACTGTACTTTTTCCAAAACTTGAAAACTCATCAAGGAAGATTGTACTTTTTTAATCATTAATTATGTAGTGGCAATACTTTATAAAAATTCTAGATTCCCCATTGGTTCGGACATCACAAATCATTGAATTATTTCCACTACTATAACTTGAAGGAATAAATGTGAATTTTTTAAGTTGTTACCATATGAATGCTCGTGAGAAAATGTAGTATCCTTACTTTCTGCATAATGAACATATATACTATGTAAAGGATGAAAGAAGCCGAGAAAATTTCTCATTCCAAACCTGTTGAGCTTGTAGTAATGTGAAATCACTCTGCAAATTTCTGTAATATTTTCTTTTTGAAGGATAATTATCCTGACAAGGATTGATGACTTAGGAAAAACTTGAGGATTGTTTAATGGGAAACTGCTCCGCGATAGTTGTGCATGCTTTTCTATTCTAAAATTTTATAACCTAAATATTCTTTGTTGGGTCAAGAACTGCTTTACTAGTTATCAGCGCGGGAAGAGGATATTCTTGATAAACATTGTGTCAGAAGGAAACATATTAGCTTCTAGACCTATTGTGACGGCCATATATTAAATGATGATGGCCATATTTAAATTAGACTATATGAGTGTTTAGAAGCATGTTGCAATAAAATAATGAACACGGTGATAGGTATGGTTATTCTGAAGATACAGGCTAGAAAGGAGGATACATATTGTTTGGTAGAATTCAATCTGAAACATTAATCCTTTGACTCAATACAATGAAGTGAAGCACAGTAGCAAATAATCAAATAACAATAATAATAACGATAATACGGAACTGTAGCTGTGATCAAATAGAATTTGGATCTGTGGTATTCTGAATTTATTTCAAACATAGCACCTCTTCATGTTGGCTAAAATTTCTTTTGTGAATGTCATAGTTAAAACAATACATACCAACTGACTGTACTCTGTATGGTTCAAATTGCCGTCAGAGCATTGTCGATATGGAGCAGATCTTGCCAAACAATTGGCAGGTTCACTGCACGGTGTACTAGCAAGCTGTGGAAGTGTTAGAGTTTCTTTCTCCAGAAGAACTCCAGAAAAGGTACGTAAAAGTTTTGTTTCAGGCGTCAGTACTAGAACTACACTTTAAAGCATTATTATTGTGTTCAAAATGCCTTCCAAGTTTTTTTTGACCTAAGATACTTGGTTAATGTTGACAGATATCTGACATTATATTAAGGGAACTAGGTGATCACCCTAAGGTTTATGTGTGGGATGGCAAAGGTGTTTTTCATTTATGCATGATTTTTTAGTTCCTAAATACTATGAAAGTTTTGACTTATTGATCTTTGTGAAACTATTCAGGTCCAAACCCCCATATGGGACACCTTGCATGGGCTGATGCTTTTGTCATTACTGCTGATTCAGTTAGTATGTTGAGTGAGGCTTGCAGCACTGGGTAATGATTGAAAAGATTTCTTTTTTAAATAATTCTTTATATGATAGTTTGAACTTCTCAGGTTATGTTATTGTAATATATTTTTTTAGGAAACCTGTATATGTGGTTGGAGCTGAGCGTTGTAAGTGGAAATTCTCTGCTTTCCAGAGAACTCTTCGTGAACGGGGCCTAGTCAGACCATTCACAGGTTTAGAGGATGTAAGCATCTCCCCTATATTTATTCAATCTGACTGCAGTCTTGCCTGTAGTAAAACCTTAGGGGGATACTAGGTGAAGCTTGATCAATGTGTAAACATTTATTGGAGAACATCATATTGCAATATCATTAGCTGATTAATTTTTTTCTTGCAAACCTAAAGAACTTCTGATATATTAAGTTAGGGCAAGTTCAGAAATTGTTATGAACTTTTATGGCTTTCACAGAAAATTACTCTAAACTATTTTTATTAGAGAAATTTCCATATTCTTTTTTTCATTTGGTTATCATGGCTAATTGTTGATAGTGAAAGTTAACATGTTAGCTCACAATCTTGTTGAATGATGTCCACCCTCATTTAGACTTTTGCACTAAGGTAATGTTTTGCTTGGGAAGTTGCAAATAGGGTATTTTAGACTTTTTCACTGTGGGGGGCTTTCTGCTGATTTAAAGTTTGTGGTAGTTTTTCTCTGATAAAAAGAGTTCAGGGTAGTTTTACACAGAACCCTAATAGTTCGTGTAATTTTGTGAACTTTTCCCTTCAATTATCTAGGTTACCTCAAGCTCCGTGCATGTTTTGGCTCATGACACTGCATGAAATATTTTTTGCCGGTTATGAATCAAGCACAAGTATGTATCACTTAAAAAAAAGAGCATAAGTATGCCATTAATATTGTTTCTTCACATAACTTACAGATGTCCAATAGTTGGAGCTATCCGCCTCTGACTGAAGCTGCTGATGTTGCTAAAAGGATTCGTGAAGCTCTTGCAGAAAGAGGGTGGACATTGCGATGACATAATCTAATCTGTTCAGTTCTTTTCTTTCGCCACAGTCAGAGATATACACGTGCAGCTCATAGTTGCATTTGATTTTTTTGTTCAGTTTATATGGGTTGGATTGAGGCTTTTGAGAGTCATTGTAATAAAATTGGTAGCAGGTCCGGCTTGTAAAATATGAGAGTGATGTACAAAATCAACTTGATTTTAACAAAATATGCATATAATTTTGTGTATTAGAATCCAGCCCTCTACTGTAATTAGGATACAAGTCTTTGTTATATGAGATATCAGCCCAGTTAATTCATGAACAATTTCTTTCAGCATTTGTGTTCCACGGTTATGTAAAACGTTGTTATGTCACTTGCTGAGTTTTCATTAGTTTGAAACTGGCACTTTGTGACGAGGTTTCTGATTGTGATGACAGCTAGTGGACTTTTAATGGGCTTGAATATCTTCTCCTATGAAAATAATGATATTCGTTTTGGCATGTACACGATAAAAGACTGTTAAATTTTTTTCTTTTGAAACTTCATTGCGTGTGCAAATTTCCTTGCATTCTCCTTTCTGTGTAGTGGCTGGTGTTAGTTTCTTTACAAAATAATTGTGACAGGTTACATGAAAACAAATTAATGAAGTTGGGAAGTTGGGCACAGGAAAACATATTCGGATATTTTCTCTTTTTTCCATGGTAGATGCCTGACAAGTGAGAACAGGTAGCAGTGAGTTTGCAGGAATAGGAAGGAGAAAATTTATTAATGAAATGTCAGCAGCCCGCATTAATTTCCCTACGATAAAAATGCAGCCCTTCTTTTTACCAAGAATATATATCTATCTATCTATATATATATATATGGAAAAAGTGAATCTGCGGTGACTCCGTAGGCCGGCTCTGAGGATGCGCGATCTGGGCGGTTTATTATAAACCCAATAATGAGATCTGAGCCCTTCGCTGAAAATCCCTTCCCCCCCAAATCCCTACCCTTCTCTCTTCTTTCCCGCTCAGATCGCGCCACCACCGACCCCCTCCTCCTCACCACCGCCCGAAAGCGCCGCCGCCCAAGCTCGGCCAAGCCCTCGACGTCTGCCTATAAAAATAGAGAAACAAAACTCATGCTAAAAGACAACTATTTTGGTATATGTCATTAGTTAGTAGTACACTATAAACAATAAGATATTATCACCTGAGGGGGAAGCCATGTTGTAGATAGTAGATCATGGTCCTGGCTTTTATCTTCTTCCATTGTTGCCTCACGTGAGAGAATTGGTGGAGTGTCTATACAAGCTATCAAATTATCACATATAAGAAGTTCAAAATCGCTCAAAAAACGTCATCAAGTTGATCTTTCAATTTCACTAAACAATTTCTAAACGATAGTTTAAACCAAATTTAAAGTTTATATTCAATTTAACAATACATGGCAAAAATAGCTCTAAATTATCCGGCTCGTAGCCATAGAGTGAGTGATGCAAACCAAATAATGTATGAGCTGAAATTAAAAGGAAGAAGATAGATCCAAGATCCAAGGAATATGCATGAGGGAAGATAGAACCATCATGAAATCCACTAGATCTAACAGGAACGCCAACTAGAACTAACATGCCTCGTAATAGAACTAACATCATCTCCATTAGAGCTAACATGCATCCCGGTAGCATTAACATGCATTTCAGTTAAAACTAACACGTTAATTTAGAGCTAGCTAACATGCATTTCAGTTAGAACTAACACGTTAATTTAGACCTGATGCCTTACCTCGGTGGAGGCGAGCTCGACAGCGGCGAAGTGCGATGAGCCGGCGGCAACACTGAGCGGGGACGGCAAGCGCAGGCTGCGGCGATTTCGTGAGGTGGAGAGGAGGGGGGAGGTGATGGCGAGGATGACGTCGAGGGCTTGATCGATCTCCGGAGGCGGCGATGAACCTGAGGGCTGAGCTCGAATGCCGTCGGAGGCGTGGCTGATGACGAGGGGTGAGCTCGATGGCGAGGACGAGTAGACGGCGATGACCCGGCGGCGACGCTCAGCTGCGGTGATCTCGGGCGCTGGAGAGGAGGAGGGGAGGTGATGGCTAGGGCAAGGGGACGGCGGCGACGCTGATCGGGGACGTCGAGACACAGGCCGAGCTTGGGCGCCGGCGCTTTCGGGCGGTGGTGAGGGGGAGGAGGTCGGTGATGGCGACCGAATGCGCGATCTTGAGCCGGCGGCGACGCTGATCGGGGGCGGCGAGCTCCGGCGGCGATTTCGGGCGCTGGAGAGGAGGAGGCGGGAGGTGATGGCGCGATCTGGGCGGGAGAGATGAGAGAGGGGTAGGGATTTTGGGGGGATGGGATTTTCAACGAAGGGCTCAGATCTCTCTGAGGGGTTTTGAATAAACGGCCCAGATCGCGCATCCTCAGATGACAGCCTACGGAGTCACCGCAGATTCACATGACCC